ATATGATAATTTCATGCAAGTGAATTTACCCAACAATTGAGCTTTGCCTCTTTTCTGGCCGAGGACTTTCTCCAAAGATAATCAGTGGTCTGAAAATGATGCGTGATCAGTCGGAAGCCTAGCGAACGAATAACTTTATGTTATATCTCTACAGTCTAAAAGTAATGGCGAATGAAAGCCATGTGTAGTATGGACAAGAAGCTAATATAATATAAGCGCGCGGGCGGTAAAATCTTATTGCGATGTCAAAGTTTTATCATAGTTTACCTGTTTGGCGATCGCGCGTTACGTTGAAATTAATTTTGCTAATTTGCTTCCTGCGTGTCGACCTTTGACTGCCAAGTGTGAAGTGCCATCTTCAATCTTGTGTTAGAACAGCCATTCCATGAAAGAAAGTTCTGTATTCGGCCACTGATATCATCAAATGCAAATTGAAATCATTAAGATTGGACTGACAAATTGAAGCTTATTGAACTTGTCACACTGAAAATTCCGCAATTTCCGTGGAGCATGACATCAGCGGAAAATTTAGCAGCACTGACATGATTCCTAAGAAATTAAATGTGGTAAAATATTACATAAACATAAAGTTAATCATGCAGCATCGAATTAATAGTTATCTAGGGAAAATTAGAAAAAGAAGGTCTTACCGAGATTCGAACTCGGGTCGCAGGATTCAGAGTCCTGAGTGCTAACCACTACACCATAAGACCTACACTGGTGAAATGAACTATTTAAATCACATAATAAATTAAATCAGTAAATCGATATTTTGCTACGCACTGTACTTGTGGCTAGCGTAGTAAGAATTACTGTTCACACTTAAACAGGAATTGATTTCAACGGACTTCGATCTTCAGTTCAAGTCTTAAGTTGGTATTGTTAAGTAGTAAAACTTAAAAGTGCTACCGACTAAAATTTCCGAATTAAACGGATATTCTCGATTGGCTGTAACGTATCTTAACGAGGCCCATTTCAGAAAGAGTAAAAGAAGTGAGTCCCTGCAGTAAACACAGATGTTACCACGGAGGCAGCTGCATTGTCCGGAGCAACTCTGTTAGCTGTCTCTGCCCTGCACAGTACTCTGGAGCTAGCTGTCAAACCGGTTAGTCATTAGCTAATTAAGAGGTATTTAAGTGATAAGGAGGTTATTCAGCAACGTTTACACCCCGTTGTGAACCGTTTTGAAAGAAAAAGTCCGAGCTGAAAGTTAAGTTCTTAAATTTCATAGGGTTCAAAAAAGGAAGCGATAACTATCAAAGTCACTTTTTAAAGTAACCGTAGCAATCACTGTTTAAAACATAGCAAGCGTTATCATATTCACACGCCAGTATATTAGCGACAATAGAAACGCCATTGTTGGACGTGAGGAGAGTGAGGACTCCTCAAACTACATTAAATTAATTCCTTCTGATATGATATCACCTCGACCGATTTTTAAAATTCTGACGTAAAATGTTTCAGACGTTGGCTACCATTGGTCTCTTCGGTGATAACACTTGCTATGGGTACAACAATTGCTATGGTTACAAAAGTTGCTACGGTTACAACAGTTGAAATGGCGGCATTTGCACTCTTTAATATTAGAAAAATGAAATCTCACCCGATCAAATAGGAACTCATGTTTACCAATTACAGTGTTTAGTTTGCCTTTATAAAAGCTACCAAAAGCTTGACAATAGGAATTGCGATGTAAAAAGTTTAACATAATGTCACATTTCAATTTTGTAAATAGAAGATATTTTGTTAAAAAATTGGGTTTCCTCGCACTTTTGTACGTGATATAATGCTGTAAAAGTGTAAAGTTTGTAATTTGTTGATAAGAGATGAATGATAAAAATCTTCGAGTTTATAAATTAGTAAGGGGAAAAGTGGCATTCCGTTGGATTTAAATGTTCACAAGGATTTCTCAACGGAATATGGTAGTTAGGACCCCTAAGAACATAATTAGACTTGTCACCAATTTTGTATCTCACGGAAACACCTCTTTTTACCACTTTTTACCACTTTCTTACCACCTTTCTGGTTTGCCAAATATCTTTAGTTGTGAACGTCGTAGAAGGTTGCAAATTAATCGAGGATGTTCATCTCATCAAAGAGAAAAACTTTTGTTGAAAACTTTTTACGTTGAATAATCAGCTAATTGGATCATTACCAATTAGCTAATTACCAAAAAAAGTGAAAATTTTTTATTGGCTCAAAATGATTGAAATCGTTTAAAACACGGAGAAATGTAGTTTTTAGAAAAACTTCAAAAATTGTTCACTTAAATATTTTTTTCGAGACTTGGAAAAAAGTTTGAAAATTTGAAAATATATTATTCCGCCAAAAGTGATCGAATTGCATGAAACGTGGATAAAATGCTTTGGAGAAAAACTTCGAAGATTTCTAGATTAGGGAATACTAAAATCATCAATATTTGAAGTTGGAGTTCAGTAAATCTCGACATATTTTATTAATTAGGAATAGCTTAGCGGAAAGGGCTGAACCTGAAAAAGGTTAACCACACAATATTAGAGTTTCATAACTAATTACAATACAACTTTATCAAATTCCAAAGAAACAGCACAAAATTCTAAAGAAACAGCACAAATTCTAAAGAAACAGCACAAAAGGACCATTTAAGATCGAACCGATTTTACCTGCTGTACTATCATTTTATGGATTTCAATGATCAAAACCTCTGTACCGTCAATCTTGCCAATCTATACCGAGTATCTGAATGTACCGGACCTCTTATTCACCCCTATAATTAAACCCAGAAATGCGATTTCTCACAGACTGTATCACTTGCGTCTTGCACTGTTCTTTTGTAGTACTCCTGCACTGTAGCTCTGTGTCCTTGACTACACCGTGGTTTACACTTTCCCTCAACTGCAATCCTAAGTAACTTTAGTTCCGGCACTCTTTGGCCATTAAAATAACCAACTCGAATGAAACCCCGTGTAGCTACGTTCTGCTACATCCATGCTAGCACCACCCAGCTACCACCAGTTTACTCTAAATCTAGCTATTTCTAGCAACCTCTCGATGCTATCTCCAGCTCTATCTCGACCCTGGCAATGAGATATGGGGGTTATTTGAGGTATCTGGCATAACAAACGAAGCGGCATGCGCATTCACAATACAATAAAGCCACAGTGGATGATGGAAGGTATATTTACACTCGCTTCCTATACTACCTATAATACCGGGCCTCTTGCGAGAGTGACAAAAAGTGCACAGTTAAAACTAAAAGAAACTCCTGTGAGAAATCGCATTTCTTGCACAACTGGGTCTAATTATAGAGGTAAATAAGAGGTCCGGTACATTCAGATACCCGGTATAGATTGGCAAGATTGACGGTACAGAGGTTTTGATCATTGAAATCAATAAAATGATAGTACAGCAGGTAAAATTGGTTCGATCTTAAATGGTCTTTTTGTGCTGTTTCTTTATGTGGAATTTGATAAAGCTGTATTGTAATTAGTTATAAAACTCTAATATTGTGTGGTTAACCTTTTTCAGGTTCAGCCCTTTCCGCTGAGCTATTCCTAATTAATAAAATATGTCGAGATTTACTGAACTCCAACTTCAAATATTGATGATTTTAGTATTCCCTAATCTAGAAATCTTCGAAGTTTTTCTCCAAAGCATTTTATCCACGTTTCATGCAATTCGATCACTTTTGGCGGAATAATATATTTTCAAACTTTTTTCCAAGTCTCGAAAAAAATATTTAAGTGAACAATTTTTGAAGTTTTTCTAAAAACTACATTTCTCCGTGTTTTAAACGATTTCAATCATTTTGAGCCAATAAAAAATTTTCACTTTTTTTGGTAATTAGCTAATTGGTAAATATCCAATTAGCTGATTATCCAACGTAAAAAGTTTTCTAACAAAAGTTTTTCTCTTTGATGAGATGAACATCCTCGATTAATTTGCAACCTTCTACGACGTTCACAACTAAAGATATTTGGCAAACCAGAAAGGTGGTAAGAAGGTGGTAAAAAGTGGTAAAAAGAGGTGTTTCCATGAGATACAAAATTGGTGACAAGTCTAATTATGTTCGTAGGGGTCCTAACTACCATATTCCGTTGAGAAATCCTTGTGAACATTCAAATCCAACGGAACCCTTAAATCGACCACTTTTCCCCTTACTAAATTGTTCATCAGGAATTTTTAGCAAAATATTAGTCAAATAGTTACTAGGAGCTTCGCTTGTCGGGCTCGAAAATCGAAAACGAATAATTAAATAACCAAACACAATATTCAGAAGTTGGATAGGTGTCAATTATATTGTTAATTATATTGATATTCAGTATGTAACTGATAGTTCTCTCCAGTTGATAGATGTGCACGTGTGAGGTGCGCGCATGGCACGTGCTACAAAGGAGCCTGCACGTGCGACTCTGGCTGGACTGGAACACGCTGTGAGCATTGTGAGTTTTACTTGATTACGTCAATGCATTTTTTGAACACTCAGCATTTCAAAAATTTCTATTTTCTAAAAATGTATTAATTAAGATAACATTAACCTTATATAATGGTAAAATAATAGTGAAATTTTATTTTAAAGACTCACTCTTAGAGTGAGTCTTTAAAATAAAATTTCAAAGAATTTGAGTCACTCTATTTAGATTTTAGTAGCAAATTTATAGCTGTTTTTTTTTTCAGTTGACGTGTGCAGGAATAAGGTATGTGACCACGGCCAGTGTGTGGTGACACGTGGGAGACCAGAGTGTCACTGTGACAGTGGTTACATTGGTGACACTTGTCACATTCAGGACCCTTGCACAGGTTCGTATTTATAAATATACATATCACTGATTGGTTAACTTAGTTATTTTAACTACTTTCAGTAAGTATCTTTAATCTTCATCTCAAAGTGAGTCCTTTTCAGTTATACAATTTTTCTTGTTATGTCTGCAGTTTAGCAGTGCAAGTAAAATAAAAACGGGAAGACGTTATTTTAGTAACCATAATTCAGGATATATTCAAAATAAGAAAACTATATAACGATTAGATACAAATTAAGTTTTAAAATGCTGGCAATAGAAAAGTTCCGTGTGAAAATTATACTGGAATTTAACAAAAAGGACCCAAAATAAATACAGCCAAAATAAATACAGTCAAACCTCTCTATATCGGGCCTCTCTATTAAACTGGGGCCCTCGATAAACCAGGCCTTATTTCAGGTTATTTGAGAGGCTAAATATACTGGGGATTGGGCTGATTTGAAGAGGCCTGGTATATATATATATTATAGAGGTTACACTGTAGTTAAGGAGCATAATGTAATCATAGTTTATGATATATTCATAGTATTGATATTGAGTCTTCAAAGGATATTAAATATATAGGGTCTACGGTGACAATTTCCATAGTCATAGTCCTCCAACTGTGCAAATTGGGTTGTACTTCACAATACGCTTGTCTACTAGATAAAAAGTGCAATCAGCAAAACATCATTTATAAAAAAACTGGGTAACAAAATATTGAACGATTTATCACAACCAAACAGAATTGTCTTTCCTCCGGTTTGGTTTCAGGGTGATATTATTTTGTCTCACTGTAAGGGCACCAACAGAACGCTATCTTATACATAAGGAAAGTAGCTACAGCGTACACGAAGATAGTGGTGGCTATAATAAGAAACACCTTCCAGTACCTGTAAGGATCTCTCTCCTGTAACCACTCATCAGCAAACTCAGCGCTCATCTCCAACACACCATCACCGTTACACTTGTACGCCACTAAATCCTCACAGTACGTATCACACGTTTTCCTGCACGTCCGACTGAACCACTCTTCTTCATTGCACGTGTGCCCGTACCAGTGCGCGTCACATTCCAAACATTCCCGTCCCGCCCAGCCCTGTTTGCAGAGGAGACTGCCATTGTTAGAACAGTGTTTGTTAGGGTGATCTGTTACACAGTGCACGTTACACTCAGCTCCGTACCAGTTTACAAGACAGGTCTCACACTCTGTACTGCCATCTCTGTTACCTTTACAGTCCTTATCTCCGTGCTCAGTGCACGTGTAGAGAGGGGAGGAGATGTTGCAGGATTTACTACACGTGGGGAGACCGTAGCGACCTGGCTTACATCGTACAGCTCCTGTTAAAGGGGGGCAGGTTCAAGGATTTTTGTCCATTATAATATCAAATGGTAAGCAATATAACTATTACTTGCAAACGTATTGAATGACTAACCAAAGCAAATGCACCAGTTGGTAAAACTTAGTTTATTTTATAACTTTAAAAAATCTAAAATTTTAATAGTTTGCCTACCGGTTAGTGGATCACATTCCTTGAACAAAGTTTCTAAACAAGACACTTCACATGATGTACCATAGTGGTTATCTATACACGAGCTGCACATATTCTCTTCTCCTGCAACATGGGAATAACATGGGAATAATATGGGAATAATATGGGAATAACATGGGAATAACATGATAATAACATGTAATGGGAATAACGTGGGAATAACGTGGGAATTACCAATAGTTGCTAACAAAAAACAAATGATATCCATCTCATGGTTGTAAACGTAAAAGTATAATAGAACAAGGCTTAGTTGTACATTTAACTTTTAAAAGATACCTGTATAGTTTCTCTTGCACTGAATACCACCACTGTCAAGACAAGTGTATCTCTGTGTCTCCTTGCAGTATATATTACAATCCTCACCGTACCTGAATGATAACTGTTACTCGATGAAACAATAAGTTTTATTTTACATTCCTTTAAAACACAAATTGAATTATATTATTATTATTAGAGCTTTAACCAAGTTAGTTAGAAATAGTTAGAAATAAATTGCAACGTATCAGAGCTACTTCAACTAGTGAGTTTGTCCAATTTAAGGTTAAGGCTGGATTTGGACGAGTCATTTTAGAGCCTAAGAAATAATTTCAATCGGTATTTTGTCGAGCAAAACATCCTGCGCCCATTGAACATCCTCGATTTGCTTGAATCTCAAAAATAGCGAGCTGGAGACCAGTCTTACAAATTCTACTCCTACGTATCAGAGCTACTTCAGCTATTGAGTTATGTCCAATTTAAGGTTAAGATTGGATCTGGACGTGCCATTTTAGGTAATTACTAACCAGGTGGACTTGCAGAGTTTCTCTCCTTTGTTAGTACAGGTGTATTTATCAGTCTCGGCACAGTACGTGCAAGGGTACCAGTCCTGCAAAGTGGAAATATAATAATCTCACCTCAATACAGTTTACATAGTGAGTATTGGTGAGTATTGGTGAGTATTGGTGAGTATTGGTGAGTATTGGTGAGTATTGGTGAGTATTGGTGAGTATTGGTGAGTATTGTTGAGTATTGGTGAGTATTGGTGAGTATTGGTGAGTATTGGTGAGTATTGGTGAGTATTGGTGAGTATTGGTGAGTATTGGTGAGTATTGGTGAGTATTGGTGAGTATTGGTGAGTATTGGTGAGTATTGGTGAGTATTGGTGAGTATTGGTGAGTATTGGTGAGTATTGGTGAATCGACGATACAGCCTCTTATAAGAGTGGAGCCATTGAGACTTGGGAAATTAGAAAACTTCTCCCAGTGTTATAATATGATAAATATCTTTGAGAATTTGTGGTTAAACTCTGATTTCACCTTGTGATAAGACATTAGAACTTACTTTATTACAAGATTTGCAGCTGTCAACAGACCAGTGCTTCTCCTTACAAATCTTCTCACCTGTCAACTTATTGCATGTCCAATAGCGGTTTTTCTCACAGCTCACCTGGTTTTATACGGAGTAAGTTCTTTCCTTCCATCGGTAAAGTTAAAGACCGCATAAAATCTCTGACGATTAGGAATTGTAAAGTTGTTTCTATTATAACTAATAATTATAATTAATTATTTTACTAATTATAATTAATGAGCACCTGACAGTCATCTCCGTAGAAGTCGGTCTGACAAGAGTCACACTGCTCACCAACCCGGTTACCAGTACATATTCTGTTACCTTGGATAGTACAGGTGTAGTGGGGGGAGCTGGTGTTACAAAATACCTGAGGGGGAGCTGGTGTTACAAAATACCTGGGAGTGATCTGTTAGTACATAATGCCAAGATGGGGGTTCTTAAAGGTGCACACCGAGATATGGAAATTTTAACAAGTTTGTTTTGTTACTCAATCTCATAGTCAAACGATTATATTAACTTCTGTGAAATTTAGACACCCACCAGTGAGATTATCGCCCACTAATTGAATAATAAAGTTAGGGTCGCTCGAGTAGATCCAGCATACCATGGCTCTCTACTCTCCTCTCACTATTACATAGTTTACATTTGTATTGCCACGTTTAGTCTCTGTTCACGCAATCATGACACATTCGTTTTACCCGGTAATACTGAGCACTAGTAGTTTGTTATTGTTATCACGATTAGTTTATTTAACTATATGCCATCTCTTATCACAAGTTACAAGTTATAATATTGCGAGTTAATTCAGTTTTCTTAGTTCACATTCAATGCTTCAATACTCGAACGATGTTACAGAAATAAAGTAGCTGAATGGCTGAACAATCACCTTCGAAGAAGAAGCAGAAACCAGGAGGATCATTTTGTGCTATGGGTGGTTGCTCGAATCGTAGTAGCAGAAACAAAATAAGTGATCACAATGAAAGAAGATTTCTAAGATACAACAGACTACCCACAGATCAAGCTTTAAAGAAAAAATGGGTTTTGAGGATGAATAGAGATTCACGATCATGGCAACCTAGCTTAAGTACAAAAGTTTGTACTGACTTCCAAGAGGGCGATTTAAAACGATATCATGCTCGAACCAATCCTGAAACTCGCACATTGATTCGCTTGAAAGTCGATAGTGTACCAAATACATATCGAAAGACTGGTAGTTTCGCCAACCCGCTAGTCCAAACAACGTCAAATTTCAAAACGACAACCCCCTAAAGAAAGACTAGTTGAAATGCAAACGGCTGGGTCAACTGATGGCATAGATATTGAGCAGGATATAACCAACGATTCCTGTTCCGTGAAAGGCCAGTGAAATTCACTTTGTCAAGCTCAGATCAAGCTCGTGCCATCTTGAGCAAGACTGAGCTACTAAGACATGTAGATGGGTTTAGTTCAGTTTACATTATTCCTGATAGATAAGATCAGCTGCAGACAGGATAGCCTACAAGAAAATTTGTCAACCAACTGCTCAACAAAAGGACAACAAAGCCGGGCAAAGTTCACGTTATCAGGAACTTTAGAGTCGTTAGCTCGGAGAAGGAGCCTTGAGAGTTTTATATTTTCTATAAATACAATATTATATGTTTTGATTCATTGATTAATTAGTTTTTTTGCAAGGGGCCAATGTTATTGCGGGTGCGCTATTCAGTACTGCACACTTCCGTGTTTTTGTGACCCGTCTTTCAATACATAATATGTGTTTCGATATACTGGGCTACCGGATATTTGGGCAATATTGGTTTTCTCCTTTTATATCTGGGTTTTTTTAGAAGCATTCATTTCTCATTTCTGTATAATTAATGGGGGGGTGTCATGTCCGTCTATGTCCGCCTATGCCCTGTCCTTTTTGGATTCTATGAGACAACGGACGTGTTTTTTGGGACATTGGCGGACACGGACGGACATTGGCGGACTCGGACGGACATTGGCGGACTCGGACGGACATTGGCGGACTCGGACGGACATTGGCGGACCCGGACGGACATTGGCGGACTTGGATGGACATTGGTGGACATTAGCGGACATTGGTGGACATTAGCGGACAAACATTTTGAGGACTGAAGAGTACTGAAGAGTACTGAAGAGTACTGAGGAGGATGGCTGAGAAGGATGGCTGAGGAGGATGGCTGAGGAGGATGACTGAGGAGGATGACTGAGGAGGATGACTGAGAGGGAGGAGAAGGATCAGGAAGACCCAGGAGGAGGAGGAGGAGGAGGACCCAGAAGGAGGACCTAGGAGGAGGAGGAGGAGAACTGAGGAGGATGACTGAGGAGGAGGAGGACTCAGGAGGAGGCACGAGGAGGACTGAGAAGGAGGAGGACTGAGGAGGATGGCTGAGGAGGATGGCTGAGGAGGATGACTGAGAGGGAGGAGGAGGAGGAAGAGGAGAAGGACTGAGGAGGAGAAGGAGGACCCAGGAGGAGGAGGACCCAGGAGGAGGACCCAGGAGGAGGACCCAGGAAAAGGCCCCAGGAGGAGGAGGAGGACTGGGGAGGAGGAGACCTGTTGAGGACTGATGAGGAGGACTGAGGACGAGGAGGAAGAGTAGGAGGAGGACTTAGGAGGGGAGGAGGAAGAGGACTGGGGAGGATGGCTGAGAAGGATGGCTGAGGAGGATGGCTGAGGAGGATGACTGAGGAGGATGACTGAGGAGGATGACTGAGAGGGAGGAGAAGGATCAGGAAGACCCAGGAGGAGGAGGAGGAGGAGGACCCAGAAGGAGGACCTAGGAGGAGGAGGAGGAGAACTGAGGAGGATGACTCAGGAGGAGGAGGACTCAGGAGGAGGCACGAGGAGGACTGAGAAGGAGGAGGACTGAAGAGGACCCAGGAGGAGGACCCAGGAAAAGGCCCCAGGAGGAGGAGGAGGACTGGGGAGGAGGAGAACTGTTGAGGACTGATGAGGAGGACTGAGGACGAGGAGGAAGAGTAGGAGGAGGACTGAGGAGGGGAGGAGGAAGAGGACTGTGGAAGATCAGGAAGACCCAGGAGGACCCAGGAGGAGGAGGAGGAGGACCCAGGAGGAGGAGGAGGACTGAGGAGGACTGTGGAGGAGGACTGACGATGACTGAGAAGGAGGAGGACTGAGGAGTACTGAGGAGGATGGCTGAGGAGGATGGCTGGGGAGGATGGCTGAGGAGGATGACTGAGGAGGATGACTGAGAGGGAGGAGGAGGACTCAGGAGGAGGACTCAGAAGGAAGAGGGTGAGGACTCAGGAGGAGGACTTAGGAGAAATGAGAAGGAGGACTGAGGAGAACTGAGGAGGAGGAGGAGGAGGAGGACTGAATAGGAGGAGAAGGAGGGGGACTGGGAGAGGACTGGGGAGGAGGAGGACTGATGAGAAGGATGAGGAGGAGGACCCAGGAGGAGGAGGACTGAGGACCGAGGAGGAAGAGGAGGAGGATGAAGAGGAGGAGGAGGACCCAGGAGGAGGAGGACTGAGGAGGACTGAGGAGGACTGAGGAGGATGGCTGAGGAGGATGACTGAGAGGGAAGAGGAGGAGGAGGAGGACTGAGGAGGACTGAGAAGGAGGAGGAGGAGGACTGAATAGGAGGAGGAGGAGGGGGACTGGGGGAGGACTGAGGAGGAGGATGGAGGACTGAGGAGAAGGATGAGGAGGAGGACTGAGGAGGACTGAGGAGGAGGATGAAGAGGAGGAGGACCCAGGAGGACCCAGGAGGAGGACTCAGGAGGAGGAGGAGGACTGGGGAGGAGGAGGACTGTTGAGGACTGATGAGGAGGACTGAGGACGAGGAGGAGGAGTAGGAGGAGGACTGAGGAGGGGAGGAGGAAGAGGACTGAGGAAGATCAGAAAGACCCAGGGGGAGGAGGAGGAAGAGTAGGAGGAGGAAGCATCTAAATGTTATTTCCATTTTTGTCCGTTTTTGTCCATTTTTGTCCGTTTTTGTCCGCTCTATTTTTTGTCCGTTTTGAAAATATATGGTACCGAACGGACAAAAAAACATGACCCCCCCTATAACAGCAAAAATTGAACATTTTATTAGCAATTTAGGTGTCCATTAATGTCTGCCTATGTCCGCCTATGTCCGCCTATGTCCGCCTATGTCCTGTCCTTTTTGGATTCTATGAGACAAGCGGACATAGACAGACGTGACACCCCCCCCCCCCCCAATTATATTGTATTGTTTGAAAATATTTAGAAAGATTAAAAATATGAGAGATCATCGATAAACAAATTAAATATTTTAAGTTTAAATACGGCACACCAAAGTTTTATCAAGCTAAGATGTAAAATCTTAAACTCCATATCTGCCCAATGCCCATGAGTTCATGACTAACCTGACACTGCCCCCCAAACCACATGTCTTCACAATGCGCGCACTCCTCCCCCTTCCAACCAGCTTCACACACACGTGCACCAGTAGAACTGCACGTGTAGTGCGACGTTTGGGGTACGCACGTGATGTTACAGTTCACGCCATAGTGGTCATCGGAGCAGGAGCTACAGTTCGAACCTGGGGTTATTATAAACAGTTTACAGTACATTATATGGGATCTGTTATTCTGGTTAACTTATTATACCACCATTCACTTGAAGATCTGTTGCCATTGATGACTGAATGAACTGATTATTGAACTGTTTTGAAGGGTAGTCTTCATCATACGGTTACATTTCACTCAATGAGTCTGCTCACCAGTAAAGGGTTCCTCACACACTCTCGCACCGTCTTCTCCGCATAGGAACTGCCCTGGTACAGGATGACACGTCATGTTACACGCTGCTCCGTATTGGTTTTCGGCACATGTTGTGTTCTTCTCGCAGTCACCTCCTGGTCATAAATACAGGGTGACAACTGACTATTATTACCATCATCTCCTAACGGCTGATACTCGTAAAATATTTGTTCCAAGACCGTCGACGAGTCCAACTCGGCGCCATCTTGGTAGGTTATTAACCTACAACATCACCTTCTGGTTATATTATAATGATTTTTGAAATAGCATAATATAATGTCATTTTCAAGACGCTTACGGCTTACCCATCTGAGTATTTTAAAACTTCAAAGTTCAATCACAGGGTTCTGTAAATTTGAGGGTTTGGTGAGTTAAAAAACTGCCTGATTTACGAGGAATGTGTTGATTAAACCAACCTACAGCAGGGTATTTACACAGCTTGTTCCCATGATCAGTGCAAGTGTAACGTGTTGTATCTTTACAGTACCGCTCACAGTCCTCCCCGTAATGGCTCTCTTTACAGACCTTCCTGCCTGTAGATCATAGTTAGCTATGATACAATGATACAATGATATAAAAGTGATAAAATTACTTTATTGAGTACACAATAGTATAGTAACTTAGTAATCCTGAAATAATTTAGGTTAAAAACAAGTCTAACTATTTACAGATAACGGGTGATGAATAAAAAATGGGACTACATGTTTTTTAGCCCTCAGATTCCACCTGAACAAAATTTTGATATTTTACCACAACCACCAGTTACTCTGAACGATACTCGAACAGTTTCCACCCCCATTTGAATGTTATGCTTAAGACGAGGGTTCAACACCCATCAGCGTAGCTAAAACCAGTAAGAAGATATTTGAGCTCAAAACCACCTGAGGGGTAAAATTTTACCGTGTGAAAGATCGAGGCTAGGTCAACTATCGGCTTTAGCATGGTCTATAATGGTACCACGTAAAAATCAAAGTGCTTGAAGCCTTGCCAGGTGTTGTTCCTACAAGAAAATATCCCCAAAGGGTGGAAGGTGGTTCGTTAGGATGGGGCTAGATCGTATTTTTCTGGGAAAACCACATCTTTATTTGCCATAAGGGCCAATTTCGTCCCAAAAGTTATCGACCAAAGTAAATTTTGACAATCTCAACCCATAGAGGACTTCTTTAGAGTCCTGGCAACACATGTACATGCCCGGAATATGGCTTACAAGCATACATGGGCCTTAGGGCACAAAAGAAGAGACTGCGCCAACACGATTTTAGGCCCAACTGTACAGACGGATTTTTGAGCTTGATGAAAGAAGCCCTCCTGAACCAATCAAAATGGGCTCATGGGCGCTTGTCATTGACCATACTCGTTCAAAATTGCCCGTTTTACAACGCTGTTTCATTGGTTTGAACCAAAAATAGTTTTATCGACACTAAAAAGACCCTTGAAAAAAGTCCCATTTTTTAGTCATCACCCGTTATCTATAGTGTAGACTTTAGAGGTAGTTATATTTAGAGTTACAATACTAAAATAAAGTAGAATATGGGTAGCTCTATTATAGAGTTATGATAAAGGATATGTTGTCGTCTTTATATTGACAATAGACTATAGAGTAGCATATTGTAGTGATAAGTTGACTGCAGTAGATCCTGCAGAAGCCTACGAGTTTACAACCATGACCAAACCTACGAGGTAAATTTTAAACCCTAATAAAGCCTACAAATTAAGCCTACTGAGTCTAAACCCAAATAAAGCCTACAAATTAAGCCTACAAATTCTAAACTCTCTAAAGGCTAATAATATAAAGCCTAAAGGCTAATAAAGCCTACTACAAGTTGGGCCTATAAAACAGTGTACCTGTATCAGGGTGACAGGTGTAGTTGAGGTTATGTGTACATTTCACCGCACACTTCTTACCGTACAACCCATCTTCACAATCTTTACATCCTGTCTGAGGGGGAGTATTACAGTAAAACTCCGACATACCGTGCACCGATTAACTGCAAACTCCGACATACCGTGCACCGATTTACTGCAAACCCCGATATACCGTGCACCGATTTACTGCAAACCCCGATATACCGTGCACCGATTTACTGCAAATCCCGATTTACCGCGGCTTTTTCCTTTCTCCCAAACTCCGCGGTAAATTGGAGTTTTGAACTCCGCGGTAAATTACTCCGCGGTAAATTACTGTACAAGGGGAAATTTTGCTTGGAGATAAGGGGGATGTCCATTGTCCCCTCTGGTGTAATGTATATATTACAAATTATAAAGGTATCTGTTGCTTACTTTTAGAAAATCAGGGGCCGGAGGATATGATAATATGCTTGCTAAGACTACATAATGTTATCATATATTGCACATAATTCAATCACGTTCAATATCTTAAAAACTGGATAGAACGCTAGGTTTTGAAAAAAGAACCTCGAGTTCAGATAGTAAGAAAATAAGATTATCTCATTAAATTAAGATTAGATTAAGAAAAATGTAATTTCAATTACCCCAGTAAAATTTGGATCACATTGTAACCTTGTGGAGAAAGCGAGGGTACCTGTTGAGTAGTCCTTGTAGAACTGGTCAACTGAGTTGGGCTTGATGGTATCTAGGGATATATCATTATTAGGTAGGTACAAAAATATAGAAAAATTTGTTTACTATTACTGAGTTGGGCTTGATAATATCTAGGGATATATCATTATTAGGTAGGAACAAAAATATAGATAAATTTGTTAAATTGAATTTTATTGAATTTTATCTTATCAATAAAGCTATAAGCCCGTCTCCGATATACTTCACTTCTGGGATCATATTTTAGATGACTTATATTCCCCAGATAATCAACATAGGAATAAAAACTGCAGGCCTCAGTTACACTTACTAGACATCATGGGGTGGCAAGTCCCCATACATCGTGGTCCGATAGTTTCATTGCGTCTTAATATAATCATAAGTTTATACCAAACAAAGATTTGATTGAGGAGCATTCCTTACTCTACACTAACGCCTTAAAATATTTAATTACATCAGCTTAGAAATATATACACACACAATATGTTAATATTATAATAAATAATAATAAAACTATTATTACAATAGGAAATTTCATTAAATCTTATCATCAAATAAAATTGTATGTAAAAAGATATTTTATCAGGTAAATGGCAGTGAAATTTCTCTATGTTATCGAGTTACCGGCGTTAAAGAGGAATGTTTTATTAAATATCCTTGTCTCAGGATTATTTACTGCCAAAGTAAAGTTTATCGTCCCTTCTACCATCTTTATTGGAAAAGGATTCGGCACAGGTCCTAAATAGATTATAATTACTTTTAGCTTATTAATCATTCATCGTCATCATTTTCAGCTAATAATTTAAATCATGTTTCGTATTTTTGTAGCTCGAAATTCTAATAAAAAACCGTTACTCCAGTACCTACGAGTATAATAACAACTACGAACTAACCGAACGTTGTATCATAGTCAGAGAACTTGATTTCTGTTTGATTCCGTTTTAAACTAAATTGTCTGCCGTCATCCGACAGCTGATAATGATCAGCTTTTTGTATCAGGTCACCTGAAATGGGTAATGGGTTACCATGGTCACGTGTTTCCATGGTGACGTCACGTGTTTCTGTGGTGACGTCACGTGTTTCTGTGGTGACGTCACATGTTTCTGTGGTGACGTCACGTGTTTCCGTGATGACGTCACGACGTCACGTGATTTTAATTATCTAGTCTATCTTCAGATCTTATAATTTAGAAAAGTAGTAATCACGATGAGAAAGTAGGCCCCCCCCCCCCCAAAAGTAATAATTAGCCGATTCTCCTAACCTCCTCTGAAGAAGTAGGACTCGACAGAGAGTGAGATAATGTAATGGCAAGTATTATCCAATGCTGCATATCCTCCGCAAGTGTCATTTTGATAACGTTCTAATTTTACGTATAGAGTACCGTCACAGTTCACCTGGGAAAAATTAAGTTTTAATACTTTCAACACAACTATATAACAAATAATTTGAGGTACTGAGGATGGACGGAAATATTTTACCGATGTTATAAAGATCTTGTTGGAAAATTTTAGAACTCATTCGTTGTTTGATTACGGGAGACATTGATCTTGAAAAAGTAAGTGACGTCAGAGTATATCAGATAAAGCTAATAACGTCACAGTTTGTCTGAAAAAGTTAAACACGTCAGAATTTATCAGATAACGTTAATAACGTCACAGTAATCTGAAAAAGAAAGTTGCATTACAGTTCTCCTGATAAATTGAATTACGTATAGAGTACCATTAAACTTCACCTGGTAAAGTAACACTCTGACCCAGGAGGGTGGAGGACAGTCGCAAAAGCCCCTGGCCCCCCTGGCCCCCCTGGCCCCCCTGGCCCTATGTAAGCTCTGTGCCCCCCCCCCCCCCCCCCCCCCCCCCCCATCTGCTTGATAACGAGGGTCGAGGATGATTTAAAGAAATGGAACTCTGTTTTTTTTCTAAGATTCATTTACAGTAAAGGGGAAACGGCTCAGACATACAAATTCTCCGAAAACTTATTAAAACTTCTCAAATACATGAGCACTTACTACAACACTAAGATTAAGAAAAAAACTGATAAGATTAAGATAAGATGATCAATGATCATAAACAAAGAGCTTAACTTACGCAGTGAGGAAAGAGGGAGAAGATAAAGAGCAAACAATAACGAATAACGCTAACATCAGTCTCCATACTCCCAGTCAGTATAAAGAACGCACACACCTTCCTGGTACATTAATGAAACCTAAATTAAAGTTATCTTCGGGAGAGTCTGACTTTAAGAGGGACCGAATAACTCTAAGATATCAAATAACCAGGTGGTATATGTCTAATATCAATGACCGGCTGTAATCTGGGATACCGTAAAATCTGGCCCTTTATAATTACAATTTCCACCAATCAAACGGCTTTAAGACATCATTTTAGGGCCAATGAGGGGGCCCGTATCAATAGTTTAGAAATCTCTCACGAGATTAGAGCAAATGTATCTCCAAGCAAAAAAGTATGTATGCCAGATCTAAGACAAGATAACATTAACAATTTTGTACATTAAATGCTAAATTTTATTGTTGAACAGGCCCTCTAAATGCCTGCTTTAATTTGATTTAAAAGGTGTTGAAGATAACAAAATCACGCATTACGTAAAGACAGTCAAAGTATGAATTCTGTTGGAACGTGTTAGGGTTGTAAATGTTTTAACCAATGCACCGGTAAAAAGATAAATACTTTCCCCCGCTCCATCGTTAACAGAACTACCGTGAAACTACCGCCATACATGCCAAGATTACTGAAGGGTGTCTAAAAAATGAAACACATCTGAGAAAAAGTTTCGCTGAAGTTATGGTGGAAGTTGAGCATTAACAATGCTTTATTCTTGATATTTTTAGCATTGAGCTGAATTCCCGAATTTATGACGTCGCAAAGATAAATTATCAGAAAACAATCGTTGAACTTCAGAATAAGATCACTGAAAGTTTGAAAATCTAGGACCTGATTTTTTGACGATTTTTTGATGGCTGTCAATTTTAAAATCGAATCAAAATGTTTAAAATGCCTATATAGCAACATTCTGTTCAAGGATCTCTTTTAAATGATCCTTAGAATATACCCTGAAAGTTTCAGGGTGATTGCTCAAAAACTGTAGGAGAAGATAATAAATTTGAAGTTCGATTTTCAGGGCACGCAATTGAAAATCGCTCACACAATACAATTGTGTGTTATCAATATATTACCAGGGCCTCGCAAAATGTATCTGGGGCTTATCTGTCAATATTATTTTTTGTTTATTGAAATTTGAAATCTTCTTTTCTGAATTTTGAATAATTGGCATCAATTAATTCATTAGATGTTATGTTTTTAAGATTAACAAAGAAATAAAACGAGCTCTCAGCATACCAGGTCTCCGGGTAGTGTACTGAAGCTCTTAGGGCCTCGTAACACATCACGATTTATGGCTCTGCTGCCCAATGTAATGTGTACGAGATAAATTATTAATAACGTACCACTTGCAGAGTTCAACTGTGGACATGGTCGCTGTACTGTCCGATCAGGATCTCCTCTCTGCTACTGCACCAAAGGGTGGACTGGAAAACACTGCCAACAACGTAAGTCATTCCAACCGTTTAATTCCTATTAAGAGATTTATATAGAGTATTATATTAGTTGTAAACTTCCTTTACAACTATAAATTAATAATTTAATTGAGTAAATGTGGGGGATGGAATTACAAGGTTATGTCTCGTTTCTCAACAAAAAGCACTAATACATACAATTAGTCTTACGCTTTAATATTGAATATATTTAAACTGTCTCTCATTCTTAACAGAAGACATGTGTGCCAGACACCCTTGTCAACATGGACAGTGTGTTTTATCCAACAACTACCCAACCTGTGAGTGCGAGGATGGATATCATGGAACATTCTGCCAAATAGGTAATTGTGAAGTTATAACATAAGATGGTGTCTTTTTGCCTCGCCTTCAAACGAAATTCTCATTTTATCTTGACCCTTAATGCAGTTATTTGAAGATAAAATCCACAACTTGGAGGATCACAATAACAAAAAGGTCCTCATTTCAGAGCAAGCTTGTCGGCAGCACTCCCCTTGTGTACATGGACGATGCATTGAAGACAAAGGCAGACCTAAGTGCATTTGTGACGTGGGCTGGACTGGACCTGCCTGTAATGGAAGTAAGCATTTCTAACATGTCACACTAATTGAAATAGAAGTAAGCATTTTAAAAAGTTAGATATCAACATTTTATTTTTTATTTATTTTATTTTACTTTAAAAAAAATCGTATTTTACTAAAAACAAGTTCAGGTCCTTTTTCAGTCAAATTTGACAGTGCAAATACTTTTCAGAAAACCACTGCTCAAAATGTAAGAATGGTATTTGTAATTTTACCACAGGGCAGTGTCACTGCCATCATGGATGGACTGGTAGGTCACAAAGAATATTTTCTTGTAAGGACTACGAGATGAAATATTGAAAAGTTGATAAATTCGTTAATAGGAAATATCATATTTCAATGCAATATCGTCCAAACTAGCTTAAAGTATACAACTTATTGTTATGGTTATCAAACTTAAAATTTTATGCCTAAAATATTATTCTAGGAGATGATTGCATGGAGAAACACCCCTGTGCATTATATCCCTGTAAACATGGACAATGTAAACTGATAGGACACACTATACAGTGCTTGTGCGAGCCGGGCTGGACAGGAGACCACTGTGACAGCTGTGAGTAATAAGCTTAATAACTGCATAATTAAGTGAAAGCACACACTTTTCATAGGTTCTATGATCTTGACATTTAGTTTTAAGAAAATTCAATATTAGGAGAAAAGGGGGGGAAAAAGGGGGGGGGGGGGGTGGGACCCATGTAGCTGAGACACCTCACAGCAAGTAGACCAAAGTGGCTCTTGCTTATGAACGGTGCATCAACTACCCGCCGAAGCGGTGGGTTGGGAGTCCCCCCTGGGACCATTTCGTCCGTAAAATTGTATACAATATAAAATAGTACAGATTTAAATAAACAAAATTTACATAAACAAATCTAGGAGACCTCAAAGCTCGTCTTCTGGGGGATGAGGTTGAAGGAAATGTCTTGCAGTTCAATATTAGACTAGTACCATATACAAAATTAAGGATCTAGTTCCAAATAAATTTGTTTGTGTTGTGGTACAACTCTCTTTCAGTCGACCGGTGTAGTGACTTAAGCTGTGCTTATGGAGGATGTGTTACTGAAAACGGGCACCCATACTGCCGCTGTAATCCTGGTTGGACAGGTGCCACATGTTCAGCAAGTAAGTTCATGATTATGCCAATCTTCTTCGAACACACTATTTTCAAAGCTAAAAATTTAACAAATCGATATGCAAATGAGCATGGCTTAACAGTTATTACCTGAAAGATTAAATGTTAAACTCAAGTTCAAGATGCGATGACATTTTCAACTTCAGGAACTTTAGAGGTATCAAGACTAACGGAGGAAGCTTCGCCCAATGTCAGTTACAAAGAAATGGATGATGCCTCAAATAATTTCCCCCAATCTTCATCTTGAAATGGCTGAGGGACTTTTGCAAAACGGAGAACACTATTTAGGCTAATACAATATATATTTTACGATGAAATTCTTTTGTGAATGAAATACAAAATCAATGGTATAAAATATTATACATGCGTTTTTAAATGTTTGTTCTTGTCTCATTCAATACAGTCAGTGGCGTAACGAAAGGCCCTGCTGACCCTGCTGTGCAGGGGGGCGCCGTCTTAGGGGGGCGCCAAATCGTCGTTTGAATGTGGGACAATTTCGAAAACTTACCTAAAGTACTAGCAAAACTGCGCGTTTTGCTCTAGATACACACTTTTTTAGAGATTTTACCGGCGTATTCTTTAAAATTACCTAATTTGTTCAATTTTAGGGAGGGGCACCAAAAGGGGAGGGGGCGCCAACAGGGGGGCGCTTTTTTCGGCAGGGGGGCGCCAACAGGCAACGTTACGCCACTGAATACAGTTCTTTTTTGATTCTCGAAATGGTAGGAAATCACACGACGGTGACAACAGTTTGTCTCAATGCTTGAGTATACATCAAACTCGACTACAGGTATATTTGTTAATATGTGTGTTCACAGGACTTGAGTTGTTTACAAGAGAAACTCGCTGGGTTTGAAATAGAAACAGAACCTGTAATAAATAGGATTTATTACACCAATAATATAAACTCAAATAGTTATATCAAGTTCCAATTATCCATTGTAAATATATAGTAGTATATAGATCATTGTAAATATATAGTTTAAAGGAATACGTACAGGTTGATACTCTACAATAACATAAATCTTCTTTCTACAAACTTCAACCGGTTCTCATGCTATGAATATATAATATAATGATTAGTATTCTGCTAAGTCTAACAATATTTACTGGGCGGCGCTCAGCCTGTCATTCCGTCAAATCTCTATGATTATGAACATAAATATAATACAAATAGCCTGGAGTCCCCAAGTTAAGTAAAGTGTAAAGGTATATATAAGTTGTTTTAACGTACAATCTAAAGAACAATTTTAAAAACAGCACTTGAATACCATTTTTTCTTTTGTCATTTTAAAATTAAAAAACAAATGGATGATGAAACAAACATTGTACCAAATTTTACGCATTAATCATGTAATTAAAACATTTATTTTTTTTCATCCTACTGAATTAACTTAGCGATATAACTAATTCATTCGCTATGAATTTCATGCTATAAAATTATGATGGGTGGCGTTTAGCTTGATCTCAGTCCGCCACATTTTTATTAATTTGTTTATTTAAATGTTTAACAGGTGATGTTTGTAAAATACTTATTTCAAAAACCGTCGACGAGTACAATTCCCGGCGCACGTTTTGGTGAACTGTAAACCTGAATTGAAATCTACAACAATTTTGTCGCAATCCAATCAGCTCATTTCATTAATTTATTAAATACATATATTTTTGTCATATGTTGTATGACCCGCCGCGCACGAAGTGCGCGGCTCCCCCTGTATCGTCGAAGACGATACACTTCACTATAGTGAAGCGACCGTGGGGGTCACCACGTGATACAAATATATTTTGGCAAAAGCCAAGATATAGACGCGCACTTGTGCACATTGGGCTTACAGCGCACGTGTAGCATGAGGCAACAACTAGAACTTTTTTAATAATTAAAAAAGCCAAGAATCGGCCAAATAAGTAAAGTTTAACATAATAATAAAACGTTTAGGAAAATTAAAGAATTAAATTTCAATTTCGACTTGCTGTTAACCTGCTAATTATAATAGCCAGCTATTTGGCATTTGCATGTTCAATGTTATATTGTAATCAAAATGAAAACCTTAATGCTATTTTAATGGCCGAATGCACGCAGCACGGCTGTTAAAAAGAAAATAGGTTAAAAACAAAATAGGTAAAAACGGTCGCTTCACTATACTACTATATAGCTTCTTCGACGCTACAGGGGGAGCCGCGCACTTCGTGCGCGGCGGGTCATACAACGTATGACAAAAATATGTAACAGCCTTAAGGCTGTTCATACAACGTATGACAAAAATATGTAACAGCCTTAAGGCTGTTACATATTTTTGTCATACGTTGTATGACCCGCCGCGCACGAAGTGCGCGGCTCCCCCTGTAGCGTCGAAGACTAGAAGCTATATAGTGAAGCGACCGTGGGGGTCACCACGTGATACAAACATATTTAATGTTAAAACTAACATTTACAATTTAAATTATCATTATTTAGGACCTGCACATTTTGTACTTAATTAAGTACAAAATGTACAGCATGACTGATTTGTACTTTTTCAATGAATATTTTACAAATTTTTCGTCGTTAACAGACATTCTGCAACATTATATTGCATGTTATATTTGTCTATTGTTAATAGACTAGACTGGCGCGCGCTACTTTGAAGTACTTTCCATTTCGAGAAGAAAGCAGCGCGCGCTACTTCGAAAAAATTTAGATGAGTAACATCCGTCAACATTATATTAACCCAATGCAAAAAATAAAAAACATAGTTTCAATCATAATTGGTTGTCATTTATTACAAAATCGATACAATCACCATTAGTCATTTATCTTGACCACATGGTTAATTAGTACTTGTAAAGTGCTTACGTGGTGCCTAAGAATTTAGTTGGATAAAACACAACTTGTCAAGGCTAGGCTGTTGGAAAGGCTGCTTATAAACTCAAAACTAAAAACTGATGTATCTGTTCAAGTGACATCTGATTTATATTACAGTATAGATGGTAATAATCTGCATCACTGAATACACAGACTGTTAACTGTCGTGTTTTATGTATCATTACATACAAGCATTGCCTGACCTCCATAACATAAATATTGAAATAGCGTTACCGATTTTTATTTACCATCCGTTGGATCCATGCAAAGTTACACGACGTGTGATAAATATTTGTGTATCATGTCGGTGGACTCGAATTGTTGGAAAACTGTGATGGAGGGTTAAATAGGGAGGGGCCAAATGATAAATAATTTTACCGGGGTACCCCTATAGTGCACATGTACAGTGTATTGTACCGTTAACATAGTACTATACTATCTTCAACTATATGAAACTGTTTCATATAGTATATATAAAAGTCATACACCAAATGGGCATTATATTTTATGAATTGTTTTACATCTTTTTATTCTGTAAAATGTGCTAAAATTAAATTTCTTGTTTCATTGAATTTCTTGTTTCATTGTTTAGCTGCTATGTGTATTATCTAATAGTAGGTGTTTTTGCTGTACCCCCCAACAGATATAATAATTTTCCCAAGGGACACATTTTGATCTTAGTTTTTGATTGAAATAAATTTTCGTGCACATACAGAATGAATGGTTAATAATTTAATATATATGTAGACCAAGGTCTGTGCACGGGATGCTTCCTGGAAGAATCCAGTTCTTTTAGCGGGGCACCCTACCTAAAGCCAAATTGAGATATAATAATCATATTCCTAGAGAAATAATCAGAAATCGAATACCAATCAAATAATATGATATATAGGAGTAGTAACCATATTTACTATGCAAAATGCCCCAACCACATAGTGTAAATTTATATAGAATTCAAATTCCATATCATCATTAAACCTCAATAGTCAATATAATAGCCCAAGCAAAATTAAATAACTTCTTATATACCTTACTGTCATACTACAAATTAATTAAACATTTGAAATCTGTTAACCAGAGAATAAATTTCTAAACCTAATGCAAGTGAAATAATTTAGATGCAATAATGAATGCCTAATGTGAGTATCATCTGTCAATGTCCTTGTAAAAAAGTCTGTAAAAGAGATATGAGTAACTAATATAGAAGAAAAAACAGGAAGTTGTCGTCTGTTGAAAAATAAATAAAATATCTAGAATATAAATAAGAATATAAAATAACATTCAGTCAATGTGTCGTCAATAAACTGTACAATTATCAAATGTTAAAACTGGGTGATACAGTCACCAAAAATAAATACTAAGTATAATAAGTAAATAAATTAAATGTGGTCTATAAAACTACCACTAGGTATAATAGGTCAATAAATTAAAAGTGGTTTATAAAACTACCACTGTGCGAACCCTTTCTCCAGTTAAAACATGTCAGTCATGTGCAAAATCAATCAAAATGGTAAGGTGGTAAAAAAGGGAAAATCCTTTCGATACATCAATTATATATGCCTCAGATTTAAAAGAATTAGAAGATACTTAGTTATCGTCGACTATGATTGCAGTGTAGAATTTGTCATATGAATTGTCGATGGTATAATTAGGGTCTGTTGTTATAGATGAGAGTAGCTGTTTCTTATACGAATCACTAAAGCTTTTAACATCGGGCAGATTTCGTAGATCTGTTGGAACATTATTCCAACATTTTGCCCCCAAGTATTGAAAGTTTTTATGTGATGTTGATCTATTAACATATAGGTTGCAGCTTTCGCCGCTCCTACTACCTCCTGATATGTAACTAAATTTGTTCATAAAGTTTGTAGGACAATTGTCATGGATGATTCTAAACATATAATTTGACAGATGGAGTTGTCGTCTAAGATGGAGTGGTAACCATTTCATGTCTCTATAAACATTAAGGCTGCTCTCTGTTTGTGGAACGTTGAGAGCTATTTTGGCTACCTTTTTGTACAGAGTGTCAAGTTCAGCAAGTTTTGTCTTGCCAGCTCTACAATAGATCGTGTCTAAATAATCGAATTGTGGCAACATGAGTGCATTGGCAAACATTTTCCTATATTTAATGGGTAGCAGTGCTTTACTTCTATACATGGCACCAATTCTCTTCATGACCTTCTTAATAATATAATCTACATGGCTTTTGAAGTTTAATTTACTATCTAGAATGAGGCCAAGATATTTTGTCTCTTTGCACTCCTTGATTGTGAAAGTTACCTCATTACATTCAATGGTTAATTCATCATGTTGATCAACAGAATCAAACAATAGGAATTCAGTCTTCTTTTCATTGAGTGATAATTTATTTACACTGAGCCATTTAAATATTGTCATAAGTTCTATTTTCATGTTTATAAATGTGCTTCTGCAGGTTTGATCAAAGAATAGTGCACCATCATCTGCAAATAGAAAGGGCTTAGATAGGTTACAGGCATAAATGATGTCATTTATGAAGATACTAAATAATATAGGCCCAATGATGCTTCCTTGTGGTACACCACTCAGAACTTCTAAAAATGAACTTAGTTTGCCATTGATCCTAGTGCATTGATATCTACAAGATAAGAAGTTCTTAAACCAGGTTAAAGCAATGCCACCAATTCCATAATATGCCAATTTTTGAAGCAATATTTCATGATTCACTGTGTCAAAGGCCTTCTTAAGATCAAGAAAGATGATTCCTGGTTTATAAGACTTAGATTTACTCATATATATTTCGTCCATCAGATCGTACATCAAATAAGTTGTGGAGTGATTTTTCCGAAAGCCATATTGATGCCGGATGAAAAGTTTGTTCTCTTCCATGTAATCAGTGAGTTGCTTGCCGACAAAGTATTCTATAAGTTTTCCTACAAGTGGAAGGATGGATATTGGCCTGTAATTATTAGGATCATCTTTCATTCCTGCCTTATGGATGGGAGTTACTCTAGCTTTTTTACAAAGGGTTGGTACAACACCTGTATTAAGGCTCAAATTGACAATATGGGTCAGTGGCTCAACTATGTGTGGTACAGCTTGCTTAAGTAAAAATAGAGGCACATCGTCATATGAAGCCTTGTCATTCTTGAGCGTTTCGACATACATTAGGATATCAGTTTCATTTATTTCTTGGAATCTATCAAATGAGATGTTAGAAGTTCTAGGAGGTAAAAAATCAGTAAAACTAACTCTTTCAATATTGGGGGCCTGATTTTGTAATCTTGATCCAACATTTGCAAAATGAAAGTTAAATAGCTCAGGATCATTCTCATTGATAGTTTGACAATTAGTTGTACCAGGGGTCATATTTGATGCCAGTTTGATAGTTTTCCATACCCCTTTAAGATCATTCTTGGCACTTTTAACTTGTAGATCATCGATCACATTAGCCTTTTTGCAGGTTTTAGCTAATTTATTTCTAATATTTCTCTGAATCTTGTAGCAATCCCAGGCCTCATTACACTTTATACATTTGCTACATATACCACATTTATTGCAATTTCCATTGTCTCTCTTATCCTTCTTTTTACGGAATTTTTTTAGAAGAAAATGTGTATGATTAATGGCATTTAAAAGTTCAGTAGAAGGTTTATGTATGAACTTTTCATGCCTTTCTATGGTCTTGCAAGGGAAGAAGGTTGCATATGCCTGTTCAATATGATGACAAAGGCCAGCAGTGATAGCTTCAACATCTGTACTTTCCAATAGTGGACTGTAATCAGAACAGGTATCTAGATAGTCTAAGAATTGTTTAACATTACGTTTACAATGATTTCTAATTTCAACCTTTTCAAATTTAGGAGCTATAGGTACTTTACAATCTATCTCACACATAATAGCTTGATGATCCCCAATACGTTCATCAAGAACAGAAGATTGAACAAAATCTGCATAACAGTTAGTGAATATTACATCAATAGTAGTCTGGGTAAAATTGTCTCCACGTTTAGCAACTCTAGTTATCCCTTGAATGGTTTGAACTAGATTGTAACATCTCAAGGTCATATCTAATTTTTTGTACTGGGTGGATGAGATATTATTCTGGTCAATGTTTATATCCCCAATCCAGATAACCTTTTTCCCGTTCAATTTTTTCATGCAAAAATGAATGTACTCAATAAAGTTATCAACACTGCAATAATTTCCAGAGCGATAGAAGCAGCAAACATTGATCTAAGTGCTATTCTTAAGCTTCACCCATAATGCTTCAATGTTATTAAGCTTACTATCCATAACTAATTCTGTGTAAGCTAGTTTTTTGTTTATCATTAAGCCACAACCACCCCTAGAACTGTTTGGCCTGTCGCATCGCATAATGTTGAAGGAGGAAGGAATATTTATGGTGTCTGTGTCAATAGTATCATTAAGATTCATCTCATTTAGGGAAAGTATGTCTAGCTTATGATCTCGAATGAGTTGAGTAAGTTCATTACTTTTAGCTAAATTTAGGAGACCACCTTGAATGTTACAGTGACCAATGCAAAGGTTATGAAATTTGTCAGCTGAGTTGTGAATATTTGTCATTTCACAAAACGTGTTAGTCGTTGTTTCTGATTAAACTAAAATCAGGTGAAAATTATCCGCCTGTAAATATTTTCAATAGAAAAGTTTTAAACTTGAAATCAAAATAAATATTCAGGTGGAAATGTCATGTCGATTTCAATGGTGAGCATGGTACTTGATGTGCTTTGCTAGTTTAAAGATACCATCGCTGTTTAGATGCACATTGTCTTCCCCAAATCTACTAAAACAAGATGATTTCCTAAATCCAGATCTATCACTAAACAAAAATCGATTCATCTCTGTGGGTATAAAGCTAACAAACGAGTATTTGGAAGGAATCTTAGATAAAAAGATATTGATGTCATTTATCACTTTATTTCTAGCAAAACTTTCTCTTGGTAAAATGTTTATGATCTTAATTTTTGCAGCTGGAGCCCACGAGTGAAGTGACTGGATCAGATTATCAATAGAGCGATTGGTGTTATCAAGGGCCTTTGCTTTTCCTGTGAACTCATCGGGTGACAATAATCTATTCCTCATGTGTCGAGGACTCTCTAGGATTAAGTCCACATCATTAGTTCCACACATGAGTACGATGGTCTTCACATTATATGCATCAATTGACCTCTTTCTTTCATCTGAGTGGAAGCGTTCATTGATACTGTTTGCAATGCCACCAGGATAGTGAAATACATGTGCTTCTTGATGAGCAGAGGATAGTTTTGTAGCATCTAACTTGGAGAACATGCTTGAGCTAACATACACAGCAAGGGATTTGCTTTTGACTGAATCAGGGGGTACGGTGCTCTTATGAGTGATTTTGTTGGGTGATGATTTCCCTTTGATTGAGGGTTCAGTTTCTCTTACAGTAACGAAAGGCTTACTTGAGGTATCGGGTGGAGCAGACAAGGTTGCACTGCCATCAATCTGGCGCAGAGTAATGCTAATTCTCATGTCATCTGTATGGTCCTGAATAAGGCTGTGTTCAAAGCTGTCCTGAGATTTTCTGGTCATAATCATTATGTCGCCATGGGAGAGAGTAAGATTGGCAACGTGGACTTTGCTTTTAGACCTAAAACTGAGGACTCTTGTTGCTCCTAACGATATGGTGGAAATCATGGAGCCTGGTGATATGGACCTCTCATCATCTGAATGGAATGGTATTCCTTGCTTGCCATTTTCATACTTAGTGATCATGGCGCTGTTAAAATTCAGACTTGAAAACTGTGAGCGTAAACGTTCTAAAATAGACTTTAATAAGGGATTGTCATTTAACGGCCTTGTGTTATGGAAGCCTCCATTGTAGGCATATGGGAAATCCCCATAGTATGCTACAGCCCTATTGTTAAACGTTTGTGTGTATTGTGTTTCCATATCCAACTTGAGAGTATCAACAAACCTGAATACACCTCGACTCAAATCATGATATGGATTGATGGACTTACCCACAACGTTAACACTGGTTGAAGATTGTTTGTTAACATCAGAAGAATTCACAAGAGATGGGTTGCTATTAAGTTCAGTCACACTGCTAACTTCACAGTTTTGAGTTTCTGATTCATGTTCAGAGATAAGAACATTGTCCCCGCAAGAGAATGGAACCGCAATTTTGTCATGGCCTGAGCCTTGGGTAAGTTTGGTTAGACGAGCAATTTGTCTCCTCAAATTGTCGTTTTCAAGACTTAGTGATACACAGGTAGAACATTTTGCTTTTGCACTGTTAGGTCTGTCACGAAGGCTGTAATTTCTGATTGGGATACCGGACATAGTTCAAATAAACACAATAATGTTATTTAGTTGTTGATTACAGTACCTTTCAGCAATTCAGAAGATGGGAATGAGTGGTGTCTGATATTCTTTAGGTGATAGATGGGTGATAGGTGATAGATGGGAGTTAACAGCTCTTAAAAACGATGTATGATAGTCTTTAGGATGTCTTTAAATAAACTATCATGCAACAACCATTAACATCGACATACAACCTGTAATGGTTGCTACATTTGATTGAGGTGTTAATTCCCACTAGGGGTCCTCAAATTATTTGTTATATAGTAGTGTTGAAAGTATTAAAACTAGTGAAATTGAAAGTGCCTTTCCCAACTGGATGAACCTAGAATGATAGGCATTCCTTTTCTTTGTATCGTGCATGAAGTTAAGCAATCTGTTTCAGCAAATATGTGAATTTCGATGAGAAAATCAATCAGTTCCATAGATTGAACAAAATGCTTTATCAGTTTGAATCAGGTATGGCTCCACCGTGTAGGTGCTGGTGGGTGCGCACCCACCCAAAAGGATGTTGCACCCACTCAGTTTGGACTTGCACCCACCCAACTTCTTCTGACTTGTTTTGAGAGATATTGAAATACGTATAGGAGGGTAAAATTCCAAAATTTTCCAGGGGGCTTGCCCCCCCCCCCCCCCCCCATAAAATCAAGAATATCCAGAAGTCATCTCTCGCGGAGCGAGTTATTCCATATTGGAACAAATTCCCTCAGACAGATGTCTAGAACTCTGTGACAGTTTTAGGTTTTGAAATTAGATTAGAAGGATTTAAGAAAGATATGATTTCTGAAAGTTTTACAAATGATTGCTTTTTTGGAATGTTTCTAATGAAGTTTTATTAAGAATTGAGAGAACAAGTTATGTCAGTAATATAGAGAAACTCAACGATTATCTTTGGTTTCATCCTTATGTTGCAAAGAAGCGTTTTATAAATCTTTATTCTACTGGGAAGTTTGATTAGGTTTTATAGGGTAATGTTTTAATCAATTTTTTGTAAATATTGTATTTGATAAATAATTATTGTTGGTCAGTGGCGTAACGAAGGGCCCTGCTGACCCCGCTGTGCAGGGGGGCGCCATCTTAGGGGGGCGCCAAATCGTCGTTTGAATGTGGGACAATTTCGAAAACTTAACTAAAGTACTAGCAAAACTGCGCGTTTTGCTCTAGATACACACTTTTTTAGAGATTTTTACCGGCGTATCCTCTAAAATCACCTAATTTGTTCAATTTTAGGGAGGGGCACCAAAAGGGGAGGGGGCGCCAACAGGGGGGCGCCTTTTCGGCAGGGGGGCGCCAACAGGCAACGTTACGCTACTGTTGTTGGTGGGGAAATATTTATTATATATTTTTTTCACACAGCACGATGATATTTTAGACATGTGTGATAATGTGATGTCATAAAATTTACCTTACTCTACTTTAACAACACGCAGGTTGATGTCCATCTGTTTCTTTTGACAGAGTTGATCTACAGATCAACGAATCTTTTTGCTGAAAACACTTTCCCTGAATTCAGCTATGCCTACTACTATACTAAAATTATAATTTCCTTCTTTGGATATCTTGATTCCTGATGTGGCACTTGATGGATTGAAGGACTTGAACTTGTGATCAGCATACTTATTCAAATTGCATTCACTTAATATTGTCTGTCACCTGATTGATTGCATTTAACTTTCCCTGTAGTACTTTTCCCAATTTTTCTCAGATTATTCACATACCTTATTTCAATTTTATGTTAACAGCTAAATATTAGTAGGATGCAGACAATCAAGTGTGTAGTAGTGGGTGATGGTGCTGTCGGTAAAACCTGTCTCCTGATTTCCTACACCACTAACAAATTCCCCAGCGAATATGTCCCAACTGTGAGTATAATTATTAGCAATAATTAATGTCTATAAGTGACAATGATAAATCATACTTAGTAATTACTATTTTCATTATTATTAACTATTCATTAGTGCTATTTAACCTGTTACATTCTTCTTATTGACCACAGTATGTATTGGAGCTAGGCTATCCACTCCGATAATCGTAACCGATAATTATCTCCGATAATTCGTTTAAAAAAGTTATCTGTTTATCTAGATAAAACATATTTTTATCGGTATAAAAATTTACTAGATATTACCGAAAATACTGCCACAATACCGTAAAATTGTAAAGAAATATTAGTGTTTTTGCCTTTCCAAGTAATCCAAGAAACAGTCCCAAACGTTTTCTAGTATGATATAAGAGGTGGTTTACTTAGATGTGAGGTTTATTTACATTTGTATACCTATGGAACTGTAGAACTGTATGAACTGTTGAAATCCAGAGAAGGTTATTGACATTGTTCTCTTGAGGGTATTGGCGTTTTACCTTATAATTATTCTGGAAACGGGAACGAGCATGTTACTGTTAACAAGAGTCAAAATTACCGGCAGGGCACTCAATTGAATTCTGTAAGTGTTCTGGGCGTGAAACATTGTCTTCAGGAGAAGGAATCTGTTGCTCCAAGTTATCAACAGGATAAGAAAACGGTTCACTGAATCACTTTAAATGCTTGACTGTTTCGAGGAGAATTGGTATTTGGTGCACTACTGTTCTCAGGAGAAGGAAACCAGTGGTTTACTGTTTTGAAGAGAACTGGTGCGTTATTGTTCTCAGGAGAAGAAAACCGGTGGTCTACTGTTTTGAAGAGAACTAGTGCGTTACTGTTCTCAGGAAAAGAAAACCGGTGGGGTCTACTGTTTTGAAGAGAACTAGTGCGTTACTGTTCTCAGGAAAAGGAAACCGTTGGTCTACTGTTTTGAAGAGAACTAGTGCGTTACTGTTCTCAGGAAAAGAAAACCGGTGGGGTCTACTGTTTTGAAAAGAACTTGTGTGTTACTGTTCTCAGGAGAAGGAAACCGTTGGTCTACTGTTTTGAAGAGAACTGGTACACTACTGTTCTTAGGAGAAGAAAACCGTTGGTCTACTGTTTTGAAAAAAACTGGTACACTTCTGCTCCCCGGAGAAGAAAACTGATGCTCTAATATTTTCAAAAGAAAGGAAGTGGTACTTTAGCAAGATTACTGGTAAACAGTAATAAAAGTCGACAATTAGTCTTTGCGAAATTCGGAAAACATTTTGGCTTTGGCCTTCAGCAGAAAAATTATCGGTTTTATCGGTTTTATCTAGATAAAACCTAAATATTTATCTGTTTATCTAGATAAAAGATTTCATACCGATAATGGATAGCCTAATTGGAGCCTTTATATTTTTAACTAAAATTCCATCGCCAACCGCCAACCATATGATTATTTTTCTTATCATATCATGACATAAATCTAATCTAATACTTCGGACATTCCAACAGCCACCTTGTTAGACGAGTGTAACCAGCCAATTACAGGAAGCCGAAGGATTCAATTGTACATTAGGCCAAAGTAGATTGTGTTTAGTTTTAACCTCCTCTCTGTAGGTATTTGATAACTACGCAGTCACTGTGATGATAGGAGGTGAGCCCTACACCCTAGGACTCTTTGATACCGCTGGTCAGGAGGATTACGATAGGCTCCGACCACTCTCCTACCCCCAAACCGACGTCTTCCTTGTCTGTTTTAGTGTTGTGAATCCTGCTTCATTCGAGAATATACGAGAAAAGGTTTGTGTGAACTGATATAATCTATTTCTGCTTTAAACCTTCATTAGGGATCGAAACTTCTCTGAACACTGAACTCTTGACATTCCTGAACAGTGTTCATGATCAGCTGATGAGTGATTAGTCTAGGGTGTACAAATAAATTACAGCAATTAAAGGGCAGATAAAGTAATTACTTTCACCTCACACCCCTCATAACCCTACAGTGGGTGCCAGAGATAAACCACCATTGTCCAAAGACTCCCTTCCTTTTGGTAGGAACCCAGATAGATTTGCGTGATGACCCCTCCTCTATTGAGAAGCTAGCTCGTAACAGACAGGTTAGATTAATGTATAGCAGGAGCTTAGCAATAGTTATTGAGAAGCTAGCTCGTAACAGACAGGTTAGATTAATGTATAGCAGGAGCTTAGCAATAGTTATTGAGAAGCTAGCTCGTAACAGACAGGTTAGATTAATGTATAGCAGGAGCTTAGCAATAGTTATTGAGAAGCTAGCTCGTAACAGACAGGTTAGATTAATGTATAGCAGGAGCTTAGCAATAGTTATTGAGAAGCTAGCTCGTAACAGACAGGTTAGATTAATGTATAGCAGGAGCTTAGCAATAGTTATTGAGAAGCTAGCTCGTAACAGACAGGTTAGATTAATGTATAGCAGGAGCTTAGCAATAGTTATTTTTCAGTGCTCCTCTATTGAGAAGCTAGCTCGTAACAGACAGGTTAGATTAATGTATATCAGGAGCTTAGCAATAGTTATTGAGAAGCTAGCTCGTAACAGACAGGTTAGATTAATGTATATCAGGAGCTTAGCAATAGTTATTGAGAAGCTAGCTCGTAACAGACAGGTTAGATTAATGTATAGCAGGAGCTTAGCAATAGTTATTGAGAAGCTAGCTCGTAACAGACAGGTTAGATTAATGTATATCAGGAGCTTAGCAATAGTTATTGAGAAGCTAGCTCGTAACAGACAGGTTAGATTAATGTATATCAGGAGCTTAGCAATAGTTATTGAGAAGCTAGCTCGTAACAGACAGGTTAGATTAATGTATAGCAGGAGCTTAGCAATAGTTATTGAGAAGCTAGCTCGTAACAGACAGGTTAGATTAATGTATAGCAGGAGCTTAGCAATAGTTATTGAGAAGCTAGCTCGTAACAGACAGGTTAGATTAATGTATAGCAGGAGCTTAGCAATAGTTATTGAGAAGCTAGCTCGTAACAGACAGGTTAGATTAATGTATATCAGGAGCTTAGCAATAGTTATTGAGAAGCTAGCTCGTAACAGACAGGTTAGATTAATGTATAGCAGGAGCTTAGCAGTTAGCAATAGTTATTTTTCAGTGCTCCTCTATTGAGAAGCTAGCTCGTAACAGACAGGTTAGATTAATGTATAGCAGTAGCTCGTAACAGACAGGTTAGATTAATGTATAGCAGGAGCTTAGCAATAGTTATTGAGAAGCTAGCTCGTAACAGACAGGTTAGATTAATGTATAGCAGGAGCTTAGCAATAGTTATTGAGAAGCTAGCTCGTAACAGACAGGTTAGATTAATGTATAGCAGTAGCTCGTAACAGACAGGTTAGATTAATGTATAGCAGTAGCTCGTAACAGACAGGTTAGATTAATGTATAGCAGTAGCTCGTAACAGACAGGTTAGATTCAATGTATAGCAGGAGCTTAGCAATAGTTATTTTTCAGTGCTCCTCTATTGAGAAGCTAGCTCGTAACAGACAGGTTAGATTAATGTATAGCAGGAGCTTAGCAATAGTTATTTTTCAGTGCTTTTAGTATTCTTATTACACAATAAGACTAATTAAATAATCAAATAATTAACTCATGAGCTAATTGCACAGAAAGCTATAACGATCGAGCAAGGAGAGAAGCTAGCAAAGGAGCTCAAAGCAGTGAAGTACGTGGAATGCTCGGCTCTCACTCAGCGAGGTAAGCAAGTGTTGTGAAGCTGTGTTTTACTGTGTTTTACTGCCAGTCAAAACTGGATATTGCTTTTATTTACAAGCTTTTAAAAGCTTTCTCTTCCTGTAGTAAGCTTTTACGATAGGTTTGTCGTATGAAAGGTGGCTGGAAATGGCAATTCTTTCTCCAAAATATTGTTTTTCTCAACAGTACCATTCGTGGAACCAGCAAGGCTTGAAAGTAGCTCCAATTAATTTCTCAGCGACTGATACCAGATTGACTAGAGAAACTCATTTTGAATTTAAAAAGCAACTTTGTGAAGAATTAAAAATCACTCCCGTTTAAAGGACTAAAGAACGTATTCGATGAGTCTATCCTAGCGGCACTAGAGCCTCCTAAACCAGCAAAGAAGACAGCTTGCACCCTCCTATAGAGTACCCATACTCTCATCCTGTAGAGCATTTACTAGGTCTGTTAGCACTGCTAGAAAGCTAGGCACTGGGGACTGGCAACTACCATTACTGGCAATTGAAATTACTGGCAACTACCGTTACTGGTCCAACTAATACACTGGCAAATACCATTACTGGCAAGTGGCATGTGGCAACCACTGGGGGGCCTTCTACTTCTAAAGTTTTCAAATCGAGTGATTTAAAGTTAGCCCAGCCCTAGTAGTACGGCTGAACATTCATCAGACCGATTTAATAAAAAATGTAGTACTGCGTTTAACAACAGCAAATAACCCCTTGAAGTGAGATGGTAGTTGCCATATCCAGCACCCAACTCTGTGTGTAATAGCTACCAGATCTCTGTGTGTTTTATCTGCTCTTTAAGCTCACGGGGAAGTAACATAGTTGTACCCTTACTGGGGCAGCTAATGCTGAACTTAGGAATGCCAGGAATCTCATTGTCTCTAGGCAATATGTGTGTTACCATGGCAACAACTGTATGTTCTTACCCCGCTGTCTTGCTCGATTGAGAGGTCCACATTTTTTCAGTGTCTTGATTTGCCTGTACATGTAAAACACGTATATTAGTATTGTGAAGCTAAATGCTGCGTACTACACAATACATGTGAGATATTACTTTAACTTAAACTACATACTATGTGAGATACTACTGTAAGTAAAACTACCAAGGTGTATTTATATAGGGTTAATATTTGATGGTAATCGTAGGGTCAGTAGGCTGCTGTGGCTTGTTTTGACACGTGACAGAGGTTAACCAAAACCCTGGCAACCACCGACCAATCAGATCGCAGAAGCTCTGTCACGTGCCAGAAAACAGCTGCTCCTCCCTGTGATAGCTGTCATAAGCAAGAAATCTCTTTGTGCGGTATTATGAAGTGTGCGACACAGCTTATTGAGTAAACCTTGATGGGACCAGGTGACACCCCACATACTAAAGTTTTACCTGAACTATGAGGGACTATTATTTATGGGGAGGGGGATCATGAGTATTTTAAAATACTCATGATCCCCCTATTTAAAGGGTTAGCTACTTATTATTATTGTTTCCACAGCTGAGTGCGTGTACGCTCATGTTACTAAGTATTTTATTGGTAGGGATTCTTCAGAGAAATTGCTGAATTACAATCCTAAAATTAGTTGCATACTGATAATTACCAAACATGTAAAATTAGTATCTCTGATATCCGGAATGTTCAAGATATTCGTGGAATGGATTAACCGGAATGTACTGATAGATATGTAGTAGATATTGTAGATACATCTGAGTGTGTTGATTCGCGAGATCTGTCGAATATTTTAATGTCGAAACGTTCATTACGAAATTATGTCACGTGATTACCTAAAAGTGGTCAGTTTACCACCAGAGCTTGTGGAATAAGATCTAAAACACTGATTATAAACAAAAAGTTTGATTAAATATGATTGGAATCTGTGAAGCAATTGGCTTGCACTATACAATATACAATAAACTGTCAACATTCCACTAGATATTGTACCAATACTATGTAGTACAATGTCTACAGTGCAGATTAGTGTAATCACAAATACAGTTACTTTAGATTATAACATTAATATGTACCTTATTCGTGACAGATAATTATTAGGATATAAAAACGTGATAAAACAAAGAACATTAAATCCCGTGTGTTTAATATCAAGTGCGAGATATGTTGTTCCTCAACTGGATACACGTTGTGACACATAAGCTAACTAAAATATTATAGGTGTTGTTGTCACTTTATCAGTGTAATAACTTCATCGTATCTGTAAATTACGGTTCTTAATTCTGGTAATATTTTACTAGATTTATTAATATAACACAAATTTACTAAACGACACAAGCTTACATTTCGTATTTTACATGGAAGATTAAATTCCTTTCTGTTATATTATCGAATTTCTAAGTTGAAATATCCTCGACCCTAACACAGGCCATACCAACCAATCAGAACACAGTATAGCCCGCTTAATACAGACCTATCTAATAGGCTTGAGCCGACACTTTTCTAAGAATTTATTTTAACGTTTTAGAGAAATATTCAGCGCTAATACACCCAAAATATTATATTTCTTCGTCGCCATATCAGTTGAAAATTCGCACCTAACATACATTACATTAAACGTACATATTCTTAAAACTATTTTCTTAAACTATTTAAAATCCTTAGAGGCGTGGTCGTACATCACTCACGGAGGAACACCAGTAAAGGAGAAATAGAACGCATTTCAATCTAGTTTTAAACCTGATACTTCTATACTGCTCCTTCATAAATATAATGACTGTGATATAGGACCCGGAAAATGTAAGACATCTGGCGAGCCTAGTGTTACTCTTAACACCTGTGAATATATGTGTTGTGCGTGTGCCCCATTGTATTTTAGGAATTCAAGAAATAAGGGACGGTATACTCACTACTGTTTTAGTTTAATGCGGTTCAATAGTACAATGTATTATGTACAGTGTTGAATTTTATCCGGCAACAAATATTATATTATGCTTAATTTTGACGAGCATATTAAAAACTTGATTCTTTGATGTTTAATAATAACTGGCTTGAACAAAGCTCGCTAAGACTATCTGTCAAAATGTTAGCGCTTTCCAAAATACACACAGTTACAAGCCATACTGTAATAAATATATTTATGCAGGAGCAGCTCATCTTGATATTTATATAATGAATGTAGCTGAGGTATGAATTGTCAAGTGAGAACAAGTATAGACTTGTAGTTCGGATAGTTGTAGTTGCATCAGGGGTGTGAAACTGTACGAATAGTACCAACACGTTATTTTTCTCAAGTAGTAGTGTAAAGTGTGTAATGTGTGTAATGTCGTCTGTATGATCTGTGTAAAAGTACTAGACGCTCTGGGTAGGCTCAACTTACACTCTGTAAATTTGCAGCCCACAAAATGTCATTAAATTACACTCCCCCCTCCTCTGGAATGTTTGATATTAAATCACTCCCGACACGTGACTTACGGACCAGTACTGACAGGTAATACCTGAACAGATGAGAGGGGGGGGGGTGCAGTTACCAATTGTCCCCCCTCCCTAAATATCACACCACCTTCTGCCCGATGTGTTTTACTCAGGATATTGTTAATTAATTAATTGGTCTAATTAATTGGTCTACATGACTACAAATTCTGAGGAACCCGTCTTGTTATGAATGAAAGTTGGAATACGTACGGACAATTTGACAGACTGTAAATTCAGAGAATTAATGACGTCAAGATGAAATAATGGTTTCCGGAATACGAATTGTAACAGGAAGGCTATCCATTTCACTATAAGAAATATGCGGACTTAAATTATAGTTCCCAATTAGTCATCATAATTTTCTCAACTTGGCATAAGACCAACATTATTAATTTTACACCAAGCTCAATAAACTCCCTGTTAACTTGTTTAAAAATTCTGCTGAAGAGTGAAGACAATTAGCAGATTTCTTTGTAAAGCTTCTAATACAAACAAACTATCGTTTCATTTTATGTTTCATGCCCCCCCCCCCCCCGGCCTCCCATCAACTCCTGCTTAATATACTTAAACTTTGCTGAGAAGAATGGGAAAGAATGTTAAATCCTAATGATCTTTGAAATAGTTTCTGTATATGTGTGTGCTATGTTTATACTGTGTGCAATGTGCATCATTCGTCCTGTTCAATGGAATGTCACTTGTCGAAGATAGGAATGTCATCTGAAGTATGTTGTAATCAGGAAGTTGATAAGAATAAGTTAATTATTAACCCTGGTACTGCCCCTACTGCTACATAATTAGTTGGTATCTTTATAATTCAGCTGTGTGTACTGTGTAGTGAGTAGCTCGCTGTAAGACTAATGAACAATACGTCTAGTGCTCTAGAATTAATCTGTGTGTTAATTAAACACTGCCAACTTGAAGCTCATTCTCATTTTACGCGTAATTACGCACATTGTACACATTATTACATACATTCTTCGCCCAATTACACACATTGTACATATTATTACATACATTCTACTCATTATCACATATTCTACTCATTATTACATATTTTACACATAATTACACTCGCGTATTCCTATTTATATCACGATTAGCTCTGACAACCTGCGTTCCACTCTGGTTAACTGTTGAACAGGAAACAACACAGCAGAGGTCACGTGTTAGTCACGTGGGCTGTACACTTTAATTCAATTTGTACATTCTCCTGGTCGCGGAGCTGTAGTTGGTAACATTGTAATGTATACTGTACGTCCACTTAAATCTTCCCTTTTATCCTTAATTCATTCACAGTTCATTTACAATCACTATTATTTGTTGGAAATGTTTCAGAATAGTCTAGAGATTGTCTCAATTTCTTAATTGCGGTGAAAATATCTGACACATTTGATAATTGAAAGTGACATGTGAACCATGTGAAATGTGAAACCCGTTTCGTTAGCGGGGGGAGTGTCCTGGTAATACTGCTTGAAACTAACCGATCAGAGCACAGCATTCACACCACGTGACACAAACTGACAAACTAACCAATCAGAGCACAGAATTGGCTGAACTGCCAACATAGAGACCATCATAGCTGAGATAACAATCTGTAATATCTTGGCCATGTTTTTCTATCCTGCAAAATGGCCCTCCTGTTTTAATTAAAATAATTGTTTTGGTCTAGATATTTATTAAAATGACTGCCCTGCCCTAGTTGTGATGTAACATGATCTTAAGTTCTAATTTTTAATCTTATCTCTGGGAGTTTAAAATTTAAGACCCTGCCGGCCTGAGCTGCTGTCTAATATATGTGTGACATATCACTCACTGATACGATTAAATAATTTGTGTTTTACTGCTGGAATCATTGGACACACTAAAAATAAGTTCTCATAATTTTGTACTAGGGTATTCTGATTGAAATTCTTGGTATCTTTGGAATGCAAAATGTCGGCTCGATATATTTGTCATTTGAGCTTGAAGTTGAATTCATGAGAAGA